CCAATGAGCTTTTGGTTCTTTATGAATTTTATTAATTGAAAAAGGTTTAATTGTGAAGCAGTTTTGTAAAAATATGTGACACGCTGTAATCTAAGGCTAAAAAAAAACCTGATTAATGAGTCTACTGTATGCTTTCTGAATACATGACTTTCTTGAGTTTTTCAAAAATAAAAAAACACTAATGTGTGTGTACATAGTAAAAGTCAAGTTAGTTGACATTTACAACATGCTCTCCACTCATCTAAAGCCCAATAATTAAATTAATTTAAGAATATCTGCACGGTATCCCAACACCCGAAAGGTAACTTGTAAAAGGCCGAAACTAAACTCACGACCGAATTTTAAAACCAGGCTTCATTGGAATCCTTCAAATTTGTTATTAATTTTTGCTTACCCCTCTTTAGCATGGTGATAGCTGAGCCGGCTCCCATAAATTTGGGACTGAATTCGAATGCAGGAACCTATGGATGCTTGTAAATAAGCACTACCTTTGTGCCACGGAGGCACGTAGAATAATAACTAGCTTAAAGCCTTCTCGAGGGGTTCGTGAGAGGAGAAGAGGAATAAAAGACCCTTCAATCCATCTCCTTAGGTGTTCTCCATTAAATTGGGATGGAGCTGGGTATCTCACACTGCCATCCATGAACTGTCTAAAGCACTTACCTACGACAGACGCAATACCATCCATCTTAGCCAGGATGAATACATTCACATTTAGAAGATTAGTCATAACAACAGAAGGCCCACTAACGGTCGAGTGATAAGAAGGCTGAACGCTGCTAGTTCTATCCGGATTCAAATTCGCGAGCACTCATTCGATTAAAATTCGTGTCTAGATGCATGAGAATTTTCGTTATTTTTTATGTCTGTCTAACATGAATGCGAGCTGTTTCTCTTAAAAGATCTTCCAAGAAGGCATCGCATCCCTAAGGCAGCTAACTTTGAGTGCTTTGCCCTAATCTGAATATTCCCAACGTAGAACGACAACAATTTCCGCTTAAAGTAAAAAAAAAAATTAAAATATATTATCTTGTTAGTTGAGCTGCAAGAAAATTTGTGGAAAGAACTGTTCTCTCACTTAATGCTAATTCTTGCTGACCTCTCATCATTCATATAGCAGTCTTAGAATTTTTTTTTCGTTTAAAACTTTTCAGCACCTGTGCTTAGACTGCAACTGAAATTGTTAAATCAAGTACTGCAGTGATTTCAGGACGTAAATAGAAAAAAGAATCATGACTAACACATAAATAAAGATATATTTCGGAATTTTTGACAATGCAAAAAGTAATGTCTTTCAGCAGGTATAACTTTAAATTTGCACATAATAATTTCTTGAATATCATTAATGCCCCATTTAAATCCATTTCCAATTCTAATCTCTAAACTTCAACAGACTGTTGAAACGGAATGCAAACTTTTAATACACTTATAAACCTGAACAGCGATTCATTGTTCTAAGGTTCACGATTAAAGTCCTATGTACTGATAATTCTGTAACTTACAAAAAGCAAAGGGAAATCCCCGTTTTGAAAGAGAAGGGGAACTCTCACCTAATGCTGTCACGTGAATGAATGAATACTTGTGCGGTGTTGTCATTCGGCAACGTGAAACTCTTAGAGCTTGTCACAAATATGGTACATAATGAATTAAATATGTATTTTGTTGCAGTGAGATTTGAGGAATGTAATATTTATCAACTGAGAATCCAAGCCTTGCTTTAGCATCCAAGAATAATAAAATTTTTCTTTGTCTGTATATTATAAATGTAGATATATATTTGTGAGTGTGTGTATATGTATATACATATATGTAAGGTATAGATAATAATCACAAGATAATAATTAAATTAAAACTAGATTATAAAAAGGGGGCAACATTCCATCAGGAAATATACTCAAAATATAAAGCAGAAACAATTCAATAAAATTAATAAAACATCATAAATTGATATGAAATATAAAACCGTTGAAAATTAATTGGTCGAGTTCCTTGGTCCTTGGTCGTTTCATAAAACTAAAAGTTTTATAAGGGCTGTCTTTAAAGACAATTCTAATTAGTAAGCCATTCCTTGCTCAACAAGATTTTTACCGGGTAAAAAATTGCAATATTTAGTCAAGCACTTATTTAGTTTTGTGCTTTTGGTATATGCAATCAATTCCTTCCGTGTTCTTATCTTACTTATAATATAAATAGGTATTATAAATAACGAATTATTACAAATTTTAAACAAAAGGAAATCCCTTTTTGCCGTTCTTATGTTCGGTGTTAACTAAGTTTTCTAACGAAACTTTTCTGACCGCAGATGTCTACACATGAGCCCGCTATGCTACCATATATGTACCATTTTCATTTATAAAATCTGTTGCAGATGACAAACAACAACCATAACTTAGAATTTAATTCGCAAAATGCTAATCTTTCTGCAAAAATGATATCTTCACCTAAGATTGAGATCTGCTTACATTTCTATTTTCCTGTATTTAAAATGAACTTTAACCAAGTTTTGCATTCAAAGTGCTTAGAAAACCAAAGTGAGAGGCAGATCTCAGTGTTTTCATATTTTTGAGCAAGACTTATAATGATGTAACTATTTTCATTTTTACAGCAAAATTTAATACAAAATAATGGCTAAATTTTGTAAATTTTATTTAAAATCCCGATTTGAAGGAGAATTAATAGCAGGAAACTGTCTAATTCGAATGCGAATTAATGAGTTTCAATTTTGAAACATAAAGTAAAATACTGTTTCCATACTATATAATACAGACTTGCCGAGAGTAAATATATCTTCAGTACTTTGCTTTTATGTGTTTATAAAGCTGTAAGTGAACAGCATTGAAAGCGATTGCGGTAGCGCGTGATAGAGAGAATTAACACACAATGAGTAAAATCCAGTAAAGTCAAAATTGTTTCATTGGATTGTCTTGTCAGCTGCTACGAGTCAGATGATAGTTGGTCCCTCATTTGAAAGTTTGAGAATTTATGCAACTCTTTGTCAGACAATTCTTAATTAAACAGGAGAGAAACTCCTCATATCCTATTACTTTACATATTAAACAGCGTTTTCTCCCAAAGGTAAATTAAGTCAGCTCTATTAGCCGGCAGCATTGTTAATGGCGTTAGTTATTTACGTGCTGTAAACTTCAGTTAATTGTTTGTATCTGGGCTTTCGGTGTCTTGATTTCGCAAAAGCAGAAGAGAAATGTTGTTCTCTTCAGATAACCTGCGCATGACTCCCGCACGAAAGGATTTAATAATGAAACTTTAAAATTAAAAGAGAATGTTTCTTGCTTTGCAATTATGGCTGAATTTGGTGAGCTAATTTTCGCATTTACACGCAATCCTTGTTTAAATAATTTTGTTTAGAGTTTGGTAAGGGACTGCTTAAAATAGAACATGGGCTGCTTGAAAAGGTGCTATATGATTTATTCTCTTAAATAGTAATTTCAGACAGGAACTCAGAATTACGATGTTTCTCAAAATAAGATAGGGAGTTTATGAAAACCGTTTCAACACTGTAATTCATAAGATTTCATACGAATAAAATCTAGCATTTAAAATAATTCTAGTAGAGTAAAAAGCTCTAATTAGCGAAATGCCGTAATTGGAAGAGAAACACGTCAGTACAGAATTTTAAATTATAAAAAAGCAACCACAGACTGGCGAAATTTTGAAATAAAATTCTACCAATTTCGAAAATAAGCAGGTGTAGGTCTTTCTACTACAAAATGAAAAAGTTTTGCTAAGGTGGGAGGATCAAATTTATCTTTAAAATGAAATTGATAGGTAAAGCACTTTTTTCAAAAAAATTAAAATGTATCTATCTCTGATAGACTTCAAAATCGATAGACTTCCTTCAAAATTTACTCCAGTCTCAGATACATTTTGGGAAAGGGGACATAGTTTGAAGTCAGTAAAAATATTCATAATGCTTTAATTGCTAAACATAAAATGCAATAACTTTCACGCGAAAAATTCATGGTTGATTGTTAAAAGCAAGATATGCGAGTGTTATATCCTTAGAAGAGATGCGGTCATATAAGATTTTCTAAGGAAAAAATGGTTCATATACACGTTGCGCATTGGGAAAACAGGAAAACGTAACGTAGTCAGGTCACCTGCCGGAAATGGAACTACTAGTATGTAATGCTGTTATCTACTCCGCATCTGGCGACCTCCAAAATACACAGAGATACTACTGACAAATAAAGGATTGGAAACAATTTTAATAAAAGCTCATCAGCTGCCGAGCGGTCAAGCCGCTGAGCAGTGGTACTTCGACATGGATTCGATTCCAAGCTAACGAGCTGCCTGCATGGGCATTTTTGAGGTTTCCTTCATGTGTTAAGTGGATACCAGCCTATTTTCCTAGAATGTTCTCTACGAAACCATCCCTTCCCTTAGCTTTTGCGTTCCTTGCCATAATCAAATCAATAAACCCAAAACAAATTTAATAAAGATTAATAAGATACGCGAGAGATCAATACTCCGCAAAAAGAACAGTCATCAATTTAGTAGGAAATTTTAGAATTTGTTCTGTGAATCTCGAAGAAAGTCGACAGCAAGCATACAAAGGTTACTTAAGTTTAAAAAATTCACTGTTGCATATCTTGGCAATATACGCCCATAACGGTGTAGAACCTTTTGTTTTCAGATCATTAAAGCATAATGAATATTTTGATAATTAAAATAAAATTTTGATTTTGAAGATTTCTGTTTATCGATCTTCACCTGGGGAACTTTGAAACTTTAAGTACGTGTCTAGAGTAAATACAGTAAATATAAGTTAAACACATTTAAGCTAGATTCCCTTCAAAGTATAATGAGAAATGTGCTGTGATATACAAAACAGCTTAGAAACAAATGGTGGATTCTCTTGTTCCAAATTTGTAACATCTTAAGTTATAATATATGGAATGATTACGAGAGTTTTCATCTGTTAATAACTTGTGATTTGAATAAATAAATGTCATTAGAAGTAACACAGACGAACATTTCAGGGCCACTGACGAGATAACACAGCCACTGCAGCCTCAGTCTGTCGCTACTTTGACCAATAGACGTCGCCCTAACATAGAAGGCAGCGCTTCTGACACTGAGGCAAATGACAGCACGAAGAACACTCTGGCGCAAAGACAACGTGGTGCATCAAGACCCTCTTTTCCGCCACCAAGGGCTTACGGTGGAACTCAAGCTGCTCGCAGTAACTCGCTTCCGAGAGTTCGGATGTCTGAAATGGATTTTCGTAGATTCCAGCAGATAACACAACAGCAGCAACAGCCACAGTCGGCAACAGTCAGGTTGTTACCTTATGATTCACAGTCGGACAGCGATGGAGCACTTTCAGCCCCAGAACTTCCTGCAACTCGAAGTGGCAGAAGAGACAGAGGTAAGAACAAGCTGAAATTTTATTTCATAACTGTGCTCTTTCGTTTAATTTCTCGCAAAGCGTTGTTTCCAAAAGCTTGTTATGTCATTTTTAATGCCGGATTGCACTGCAGACAACTAATAAAACTATACAAAAGTATACAAAAACATATTTACCGAAAAAAGAGGGTACATACTGCCAGCAACTTATGAATGCAATAGATCATGCAGTGCCAAAAATTATATATATGGTTGAGACATTCTTATTAGACACTAACGCAGTGTTATTTTAAGCGTCAATGAATTTCAAAAGAAATGCATTAGTCTCCTTAATTAAATATATAGTCTAACCTTCCGTTAACAAGCACTCCATAGCATCAAGGCCTTTGACATTATCAAATGATATTCGTTAAATAGGAATCTGGCCTCCTTCTTCGATTTTCCTGGCATTTATGTATTGTCTGTTAATGGAGATTAACTCTTACAGAGGTGTGTCTATTAACAGAGGTCTGACTGTATATTGAAATGTGTTTTATACATGTAATAAAATTATTCTTTAAGGTTTAATGAAGAAATCGTGTAAATTCATCTCTGTATTTTTTGTTTGCGTTTGTTTTGCTTGTAAGAGTTATAGAGTCTTCCGAGAACGAAATGAACATTAAAACCACGTTTCAACAAAATTTATCTAAAATTTAAAGCTATCAAGTAAGAATAAAATGAAGATATCAAACAGAATCGAGTAATAAAAGCATGGCACTATTTTTGTGTGTATATACGCTAATTAACGTATAAAAATGAGTAATAATCAATAAACCTGAAAGTTAATTTAACTGTTAAGGTTATAAGGTATTTCTCCCACTTTCGTACTGCCTTCGTGGTGTAACCGTAGCACGCTGGGCCGGTATTCCAAAGGTCCGTGGTTCGATTCCCGGCGAAGGCGGTTGCTAAATTTTTCATCTTTTCTGCTTCCAATTAACCTAATAACTCTACAAGGTTGTTGTTTAGAATCAACCAGGATAGTCAATTTTTGATGAGTTATTTGCGAGACGAAATCCAGCATTATTATAGGCATTACGTGGCTTCAGCTTCTTTTATGATTATAAAGCGCCAAAATTGAAAATCAAACATTGGCTTGAGGCCGAGATTAAAATTTCGATTGATTCTTTTTTTCCCTTCCCCACCCTAAGAATCAAGGATAATCTCTTAAGCAAATCAAGTTCAAGAAATAAAATATCAGTAAGATACTAATTTCATAATCAACAATATATTTCCCTTCTAGCTCAAAATTTCTTTCCATCAGTGTCAATGGTTTTCTATGCCATCCTTAAAGAAATTTCCCGGTTTGTTGGAGAAAAATCTTGAAGGTCGTTTCAGGTACGTCACGTGAACTGTATTCTTATCCATTAATAAAATTTTCTATGCTGTGAATCACCTGTAGCTAAATGGTTCAAAAAAGGGGAATATTTTTCACATGAATGGCGAAAATGCGTACAAGTTCTCTTTGATAAACCTTACGTTCATGTGGGACCAATCTGCCTAGCTGAGATACAATTCTAAGTTTCTTCAAATAGCCATGGACAGTTTTGAAAACAAAATGCTATCTGCCTCTACAGAACCATCGATGACATTTGCGAGTATTCAAAACACCTTTATCATAAATAACCTCTAGATCACATTTATTACAGAACTTTCAGTACTATTGTCTAGCTTATTCTCGTAAAGCATGATGTATCTGATGTGGGCTTCTGTAACTGCAATTTTCATGAGGAGTTATTAATAACGGAAATTAGTATTTATATACCCGAAAGCCAGAATTTATCTGAGTGAAGCTGACTTTGCTCTGCGGTGTTTCTGCATCCGTAAAAATCAATTATTTAAACGGGTTAGCACATGTTTTAACTAGTTCTGTATAAAAAACGGCGTTACCTATGGGATGACCTAACAGATTAATAAATTGTTTAAACTACACGAAACTATTATTTTGGTGTACAACTTATTAACCATAAAGGAAACATATTAATGGATCAATTTTTTCCTCATTGATTACATTCATAATTTACTGCCAATAAAACAAAATTCGCATTTTTCTTTCCATGTCAAAGAATCCTAGGAGATTCATTTGTCCCAATGTCAGAATTATGGAAGAAAAATTATAATATCTTGATTCTTTAGAAATAAATATTTTAATGTTTCTCTCTGTATTCAAATTGCTTATCCTATACATTACAGTCTAGTTTAATAAGGATGTCATCATAATCCTTTATCATCAGCAGCACTTTTCACAACTGGCCGTAATTCTTCCGGAGAACTTGGAAAATCGTACCCGGAAATTATATTTCCCTAATAGTAAAATGACTTATTGAAAGAGGAAATTCCATTACGCCAGTTATAAACCGGTCTATTCATTCAAAACATTTCTGTATTTTGACACCAATGAGTGATTGTGTTCAATAAAATTTGAATATGTCATCTAAAGTATCTTTAAAAATAACGATAAAAAAAGTAGAGTAATGTTATTTAACGGCTTTTTCCAATACACAAGTTCTTTAACAGATCTGCTGAAGGAAACTGGAGCTATCGGCTGAAAATAAAGATATCAAATTGATTAATACTTTTATACAATCAACATGTGAATGAAGTGTTCTTGCCTTCAATTATTTGATATTAATTATTATTTGATGACCGGCATATCCATCTCTTTCATCATACAATACTCAAATCCTTGCTTTCAACCACATATCAGTTTTATCTTATAACGAAAGGTTTGCCTCAAGCCAGTGTTGAAGAAAACTTGTTATTCATGCTCGGGATGGTGATTCAGATGCAGATGACTTAGCTTTAATCAGGTGAACATAATGAATTCAAGATTAACTAATTAGTTTTCACTTTTGTGGGCAGACGTTAGAGCTCCTTACAAAAGCTTCGGTTCTGTGTGGACAACTAATTCGTCAATGAATTTTTTTCTCTTAACGTTTGTTAGATGGCTATCACTAATTAACATTGAAAATAAGAGTGCCAAACTTATTTATTGAAAAAGGTAAGAAAAATGTGATTACTCTCATTTAGGCCAAGACTGACATTGACATGAAAACCATATATTTAAATGTGCAAAGAATAAACTGAGAAAGTGTAGCTTATAACGTATTTTCTTCCTCTATACCATTTACCTTCGTGGTACAATTGGAAGCAACTCCGACTGGCAATCGGGAGGTTCAGAGTTCGAATCCCAGCGACGTCAGAACTTATTTCTCCAGTTTCCTGAAATCAAAAATATTTAAATTTTTTTTACAATTGGCGTCCGAACTAAAACGTAATGGAAGAAAATTCGTCACCACCAGAATTTGGCGAGTGGTTCCCTTCCTTCCCAGTCGGTCTTTAAGAGGGGGAGTATGTAACGTATTTTCTCCCTCCTTACCGCGTGCCCTCATAGCGCAATTGTAAAGCACTTCTGCTAACATCGGAAGATCACGGCGCGGGCAATGCACATTTTTTACTTCTGTTGCTTCGACAAACCTGTTTCAGAATAGAAATATTTAAAATATTTATTAAACTAAGGTCATAAACTGGTGAAATGCATAGTCACTATTTTCAGAATATTTGCAGTTCCTGAAATTTTCAAAACTATTAGGTAGTCTTCTCTATATTCTTAGCATATCTTCGGTATTCCATTTTGCATTTAATAACTAAATTACAATAAATCATGATATTATGATCAAATAAGCAGGGCCTGATTAGGACAGTCTGAGGCTTTAGGGGCATACAGTTCTTTCAATAATACACAGTGCTTACATTCCTTGATTTCATGACAGAAAATATAGGGTTATGAGGAGTTACAGGATTACTTGGACGATTCTTTTAAACCTGGAGCGCAAGGTCTTTGCAGACCTAAGACCCTGCAAGTAAGCAGGTAAAAAAATATTGCGTGCATATACGTATATACTTAAAAAATAGATTCATAGCACATGTAGTGTACATTTAGAAAACCGCTTTTTCAATTTCAAAAATGAAATGCCCTAAAATATTCGTTGAAAATAATCTATACATTATAATTATGTTATAAAGTCTAAAAGAATTACTTTTAATGCAAATAACTTTAACGACTAAAGGTCCGTAAAATGCGTGAATCAACTGTTTTACTTCATACTTGCATAATGGATGTTATGAATCCATGTTTATGAAATAAATCATATTCACAGAATGTTGTAACATACTTAAAATCTAAACTTATACAGTATGGTTTAATCGAAAGACTAAGTATGTAATCTATAAGGAAGGCTAAAAATCATCTGCCATTCGTCGTTGAGCACGTCCTAATGCAACAAGGGATATATTTTCTCGGCATTTACGCACGATATTTGCTCACCAACTATCTGAAAAGTGAGGTTTGTATGTTACATAGAGCCGACGGACTAACTATGACACTAAACATGATAAAAAGAAGTAGAGAAAGCAGGAAAATAGGTTGCAGTTCGATAAAGCAATTGTTGAACTCCGCTTGCATTACAGAATCTGCAAACATAAATGCCACTATTCGTAAACATAATTCTCAGCGTATTTTTTTATTGACAGAAAATTATAAAATTTGGAAAGTTATTGCACCAAAAGTAAGATGCAGATAGACAAATGACAAAAGATGAATAGTCTAATGCGTATTACATTTATCTTTTGAAAAAAGGTGCATATAACGATTTCTTACTCAAATACGGGCCAGAAAATTACTAGATTATTTTACTCGTGAAACGTTTAGAAACGATATTATGCAAGAAAATCGAGAGTTTGAATTGGAAAAGAATTTATAACTGCAGTAAGAGCACTGATTATCCGGCAGCTAATAACCCACAACTCTAGTTACTCAGACTGGTTTTCCTTCTATTCGAAGTAACTTCTTGTTAATGTATTCGCGGGTTTTTAAGTTATTTCCTTGAATTAAATATAATAATGTATTTCAGCATATATTTTTAAAAACTATTAAATTAATTTTTATGAATCAGTAGGATATGCAGCTTGACCAAAATGTTTGGC